TTATGAATTAAATTTATTTATGAGATATTCGATTGAGTATGTAATTTATTGGCGAAGATTTTGAAATTTAAGGCCTTAATGATTTAAAAAATCAAAATTGAGGATGGAAATAAGTTTAATTTAATATTTCAAACTTTTGAGAGTTTGATTAAAATCTGATTCAGAATGATAAATGTAAATATAATTAATTGGGCTTTATTAGAAGTCAAATTAGATGAATTAAATTATGTGAAATTTATAATTAGTTATAATTAATTTAATTATGTGCTAATTGAGATTTATTAAGAGTGTTGCTTAATTAAATTAATCACAATCATAAATCAATTGTAGAATGGTGGTGGTATGTGTGCTGAGAAATTTTGGTGGGTGTTCTGAGAAATCTATGGGTGTGTGTGTGTGTGTGTGAGTGTTGTGTTTGTGAGTGTTGTGTGTGTGTGCGCGCGCACGTGAGTGTTGTGGGTGTTTGTGAGTGTCAGAGTGTGGGATGGTTTGTATGGAAAATGTTGTTTCAAAATACGTTTTTACATTTTAACAGTAAAAGCGTAATTTGAATTCACATTTTTTGAAAAAAAAAATTTTATTTAAAAGGGTGGTTTGTAATCTCACTTTCTTAATTAAAAGCCACGCTTTTACTATTTCACTAATTTTTTGCGGGAGGGTCCTGAAAACAGTGAAAACGTGGTTTGTAACCACGTTTTAGCTTATTTTGAGAATTCCATCAAAACTAGGCTTAGTTTGAGAAATAGCTTAGTATTTTAGCTTATTTTGGAAAAAATCCCTAAAATCTTGCTTGTGTTTTATATTTTAGGGTAAGAATTCTTCTCAATTCATTGTGTATCTCCAATGGTAGTAGGCATTTTATCTATCTAAATATTACTATAAAGTATACATTTTATTTTGCTTGTCAACGATTCATTTTTCTACCCCAACCATGCTCTTTATTTTAGCTATTCATCCAAATACTATTAACTTTATAGAATGCCACCTCAGCAACAAAGATGGAGGGAAATAATCTTAATGATTAAATACATTTTGCCTAGCCTTGAAGGCTAGCTACATGTAGCTAGTGAATGTGAGCTGAGCCAAAATGCCTAAGCATATGCCTAGTGCATTGGAGTTGAAAAAAGTGAGTCACATTAGGCATTTTGACTAACAAGCATTATATGCCTAGTGGGTTGGAGATGCTCTTATCCATTATAGATTCCTCTTTTATGTCTTCTTTGAATTAGGAATTTAGGTAAGAATTTAAAAATAAAAAATAAAGAAAAATGGGAGAAAAATACAAATGAAATATAAGTTAATTTTGTTTCATTTCCTTCACAAAATTTTTATATAAATTTATAATCTAAACACCTCTTTAATGATTTAGGGCTTTTTGATAATATACAAAGTTCTCGTTTGGCATGTTGATTTGAGGAGTTAAAAGGCTAAAATAGTTTTCAAAAAAAAATAAATAAATTAAAAAATTAATAAAATAAAATGTTACATTCAAAGTATAATTATTATTTTTTTTTAAACACAATAAAGGCCGCATCCCAAAACTACAAGCAAACATTACGAGAGGAACTCCCTCTCAGCTTGTCATTAGCTAGAGCCAGCTCCACAGAGGGAGAGGCTATTAGTAGAATTTCAACTTCAACCATACCAATAGTAGCCTTGGCTAACAAGTCCGCGCAACGGTTGGCTTCCCTTCCGATGGTGTGCAACTCACATTGCCAATTTCGCTTGAGCAACTCCCCAATCTCTTGGCAGAGGTTGAAATTAGGATCCACCTAGCATGAAACCGTGATGGCTTAGATTGCTTCCACAGAATCTGATTCTATAATAACATGACGGTATCCTTATCCAAGCCCATTTGTAGGCCACGGCGAATGGCTTATAGCTTTGCCACTAATGGCGCAGCTCGCCCAACATATATTTGAAACCACCAATCCAATCCCCCGTGCCCGAGCGTAGAGCCTTGCTAGAGTGGTTATTTACCGCTCCATCTACATTGATTTTTAACCACCCACCAGTAGGGCTGTAAAAGCCGAGCCGAGCCGAATTTTAGTATGTTTGGACTTTTTTATTAAGATTTTAACGAGTTTGAGATCGAGCTCGAACTGAATAAAAAATTAACGAACCGAACTCGAGCCGAGTTGGCTTAGGCTCGACTCGAGCTCAAGTCTGTTCACGAGCCTTAACGAGCCAAAAAAATTATAAATTCATACACACATGTGAGACTAAAGTTACAATTAAAATTTTGATTATACAATTATATATACAATATATATAAACATACTAAAAAAAAGTCCACATTTTACTAAAATAATAATATCTACTATCACTGTTATGTAAATGTACTATCTATAGTTAACTATTATTTACATTTATATTTTTAAATATATAAAGAACATATTTCTCTTATTTTTTATACATATTTTTATATTATTTAATATATAAATAATAAATATTAAACGAGCCAGCTTACGAGTCGAGTTTTAGAATGTTTGGGCTTGTTTATTAAAAATTTAACGAGATCAAGCTCGAGCTCGAACGCAGAAAAAATTTAACGAACCGAGTTCGAACGAGCTCTTATCGAGCCGAACTCGAGGCTGTTCATGAACGGCTCTGCTCATTTGCAGCCCTACCCACCAGGAGGAGGAGCCCAAGAAATCATGACTCTATTACGAGAGTTTAAGTTGAAAAGATTACTACGAACTAGAAATCATTGTCTCACAAAAGTAAAAAAAAGACAAAAAAAAAAAAATATCCAACTTAAAATGAAATTTTTTAATCCTAAATTAAAATAGTCAAAAAAATTAAAAAGTCAATCCACATCTCAAACAAAGCCAAATAGTCAAAAGTTAAAAAATCACAAAAAAATATTAACTATTCTCTTACTTTTTCACACGTCTTTTAATAAAAAATTAAGGAGATAATTATAGTTATTTCTAGATATAATAGCTTGTTTGGTTTTGATTTTTACAAAGCACTTTTTAAAAATTTATATT